TGGAGTAGTTTAGCGAAATACGTAGAGCAAAATGTGCCAGACAGGAGATAGCATCGTGGAAAGCGTGTGACGGTTCAAGTGGTGGGGCAGATCCGTAGGCAGATCACACTGGACAGCGTAAGTAGTATCGACGACGATAAGAATGATTTCTGATAAGCTGACACAAGACAGGCGATATAAAATCTATAAGTGCGCAAAGATAAGGTCTTAGGACAGTAATAAATTCCTTCCCCTTCTTTACTGTTAACAGTGGGGGCACTACCCTTAATAATGTAATTATTGGAAGATTTATCCAAGTTGTGGAGTTAGGGTTACTTTTTTTCTGGTCAACGTAACTCGTCTCCATTTGCAGGAAGTAAAGACCGCCAGAGAACGGGGGGTTAAGTGCGGTTAAAGAGATCCAGATCGACATCAGACAACTGACCGGCTTGGTAAGTGGTCTGACGTTGGTGATGTGGGAAAGATTAAGGTCTACGGCTCAGCAGGCTTTGCTCATTATAAAGAACCTGACGTGTTTGCAGCTATCACAGCGCGCTAAAAGCCGTGGCTTTGAAGTTTGTCAACTGATAGGATATCTCAGACCGCGCGGTCAGTCCAGCGTGTTTTATGTTGAATGAAAGGATTGACTTGCGGACTGCGAGTCAAGCTGCAATGGCTCCTTCTTAGTGTGGCCTTTATGACCTTTCCACTCAGCTGGAATCCGAGCCGACTCTAACTTTGATATTGACTTCTGCTTGGTTGTGGTGGACCACAGTGCGTGGGCGCTGTCCCCTCTCCCAACTCTCGTCTGCTTGACTGTGGGGGGCAGAGAACTGAAGGCGAGGTGAATGCTACGCTAGTCCACTCGCACTATTGTGCAGAGCAAGACATTGTCCCTATACCTGTGCCTGTCACGGAACACACGTAAACCTAGTCGGAATCAACGGTCGAACTGTCACACTTTGTCTTCTTACTTAGATCTTACAATTTCTTCAGAATCCACCCATGAATAAAAAAGCACTCTAAATGCAAGTTGATATGTTTGTATTTTTGTTAAAAAGGACTTCATTGTTGCCACATGCGCAACCGCTGCTCAAAGCAAACATTTACATGGGTGCGCAGTTTTCTGTCAACAAGAATGAATCCAAGTAGGTAAAAGACGGAGCTCAGGTAGGTGAGCCATTTGAACTTAAGGAGTGTTATTGAGGTTATAGAAAAGCTACATTCATTATAATTACACATCACCTTCAGGAAGGTGGCCAACATAAAAGGAGACCAAGCACTGATGGACACAACGCAGATGACCATATTGTTCAGGGCTATCCTCCTCTGCTCGTCAAGGTCTGCTTCTCTTAGAGCTGTAGAGTCCTCAGTTTGGTGGGACATAGGACCTATCGAGGCGTGTCCATGTTCCTCTTCTGCCCTCTGCGAGTGGCAATCACTCTGACAGCTGCAGGCATCTCTTTGTTGTGTAAATGGTGGCTCAGGAGAGAAGTGTGACTGTATTCGCTCCTCCGATACCACGGAGTTGCAATCAGCGACGTTTGGATCCGACGAAGTAATCTTTCCTATCCCTGCTTCCTTCTTCGAGGGAGAAACCTGTTTGGATTTTGCTTGCGTGGTCTCCACTTCCGAACGATGCCACACAAGTGATGGAGCAGAAGACTTTTTAACTGGACTGCTAAATGCCGATTTTGATTGACTGAAAGTGGTCAAGAAGAGAATTTGTCCGTGTTTTGGACAGTCAAAAAGAAGTGTCCTTTCGGCCTCCACCACTGAATTGTTACGTTTTCGACGCTGTGGCGTAAGCAAACTATTGCACTTCATCTGACCGGATTTAGCTGGACTATGCTTGCAGTGGAATGCTGAATTTGACATTTCGGTGTAGTTGTGAGCAGACTGAAAGTAATTTGTACAAAAAAATAAGTTTCTAGTTATATTTACTGGACAACCATTATATCAAGCAAGTTTATTCCTTCAAAAGTAAATACAAATCATCCGTTAAAATGAATCAAAAAAGATCGCTAAATGAGAGATGCTCAAAGTAGTGGAAACGTTGTGCTAAAAAAGGAACAATATATTTCATTGGTGAGGGTTTACCTGTAGACATAACTTTCGCACTTCAACGTAGGAAGATTAAGTTGTGAAGCCTTAAGTAATGAATTTGTTATTAATGGCAGAAGTGTGCTTTAAAGTAAGAGAAAATATTGCCTAGGGTAAACAATATACCACCTTGCCTGCAATTTATTCAAGCTGATCAAGTTTATAAATTGCCAAATAATTTTTAAACCTATTTACTGTTACAGTTGAAGTCAAGGGTTACAAACTATGCCCTGTGTACAGCCTGTTTAAAGAAATGAACGTTTTCGCCTACGGTTTGAGGAAGAAGTTGCATAGTTCTCATAAAATATTGCAACAGTTGTGGAACATACCGCAACATTAATAAAGGGATGGACATAGTGTATAAGAAATGCACACCTCACAATCTTAAAAAATGCTCATACCTTGAATTTATTTTAAAACCGAAAGATACCGTTTATTTAAATATAAAGTTTAAAGGAGGCATAATTTCCTATCAACAGATTACAACACAGAACTTTTCGTGCATGTTTTCCATAAAATATATTTGAATTTATAGAAGCAGTCAAAATCAATAATAAAAATACATAATACCTAACTAGCCACTTTTCACAGTACGTACATTTTGTTAGCGGTCAGGAGGAAGCTCGTTAAAAAGCCTGCGTCCTTTCGTTACTGAAATGCTTTCAGAATAGACTGCACGATAATCAGTATTACAACCTTACCCATTGCGGCGTTATGAAGGAGTGTCAATATATGTTGGCATGTTACGTGAATTGCAGGCCGTACTGTAAATTATCCAAAATGACGCACAACCTGAAATTGTCCTTTGTACATCTCAGATTAATACCCGATAAGCTCAAAAGACCCAGAAGAAGCCCTCACATTCGTCGTCAAGGGCAAAGATTCACAAAGATAATGTTACTAACCAATTTTAAATTTATAACGTATGGAATTCATCTGCTTGGTATGGTAAGAAAAAGGATCTATGAGTGTTGTGGATATCATACTTATCTCCTTAGTTAGTAAAACCGTGCCCATATGTGTGATTAAATAAGTAGAAATGAAACTTGAAAATAACGCAGCAGAGTAAGTGAACATATTTTTAAAAGATAATACAATACATCAAAATAGACATCAAGGATATATTTAATGAATTTTTCTTATTTGTGCGACTTTCATATGTTTCGCCAACCTTATCAGTCCTGATTAAAGTTGTAATCCAATCCTCTTCAATTTCGTTACTTTGTTGAATAGGTGTAGTTATAAAAGAGTTCTTTAAGTCCGTATCAAATGTGCTGATTTTGTGCTTCAGAAAACCCGTTCCTCTCTGGTTCATACTGGATTACACAGGCAGAATCAAAACGTGATTTGTTTTGCTTTGACCAGCATCTGACAGATATAATTGCTAGTTACTTTACTATTCTGATAAACGTTTTCTTTACCCTAAGCGATGTATTTTTGCTTTAATTGAGTGCAACCCTTTACCCCATGCTACGAACGAGAGAAAATAACGTTTCAAAATGAAAGTTGGCTAAGAACCAATGGCGTTGTAATGCAGGAAAACATTGCGGAATATGAGAGATACTCTTAGGTGCGTATGAGGGAAACGATGCAGCGTACGCTACCGATGTAACCATTAGATCCCCGTATATCATCCTTCAGTTTAAAGGGTAAAGTATATAGTTTTGTCTTGTGCATTTTTATTATGACCATTGGTACGGAAGGCTGCTATGACTCCACCCATAGAACAGGGAATAAGGAACCACCCGTATAATAGGCGACTGGGAAAAATTCCAGGCACTCTATGGTTAGCGCTAAGGTAAAATAGGGTATTGATTTAGATTACAGTTACCGCAAATACTACAATAAAGGTAAACCTTAGGAGAAGGACAAGAAAATATTTATCAATCATGTAACCGAGCGCGCTAATACCTGTATTTCGAGAGGGTGTTCCCGTTCCGTTTAGTGCTTGCGGATGGGCAAATAAACGATTGAGTCCTGACTATTTTGAGAAAGTTATTTTGAGATAAATTTAAAAACGTTTACCTCTGCCCTTTGAAAATCGCAACATTAAAGGTAAATAGTAAAAATTTTTTAGCATAGTAGCATAAAGTTACGGAAAAAGTCCCGAAATTTTATGATTAACAATAACCTTTTCGTCAACTAATTTTGTATACGATACAGTAAATCTTTAGAACAGTCAGATAAAGCTAAAATTGTAATGGCTTTGAGCTGAATTACTTTTTTTATGACAGATTTTGCGTTAAAATGCCTCTACAGGTGTTAGACTTAGACTCAAAGAGGCAATCACCTGGCTCTCAGTACTTTTTCCAAAAACAGTCAAAGTTTAGATTGCATTTTCTGCAAAATTTAGTAGAAAGGATTCGCGTGCAAAAAGGCAATGGTCATATTATCAAGTAATAAGGGTTAAGGGTAGATGATAACAATTTATTTTACCTAGCTATGAAAAACCCGACGACCTAGGCAGGATTTGAACTATCAACTGGGTCGAAAGTATTTTTTAAATCAGTCAAAGTCCCATATTTATTACTTGTCACTGATCGTCATCGGATGCATTCCCGGAGCAGTAAGCGGATTATGTCCATCGTTGTAGGTTCCTTACTGTGCTTTAGGCAAATTAGGTTGGTTGACACAAATATGCTCAAACTGCCGGCTACATTCCACAAAATTAAATGGGATTCGTTAATTGTAATTTGTCTGGAAAACGTAGACTAAAGTCAGCGTTTTTGCCCACGCTTTATTTGCCGTTAAAATAGCCGAAGTTTCAGAATGTGTTTGGTTTAGCAGAAGTCGACGTTCAACAGATGGCCATTTGTAGAGTTATGAAAAAATATTGCTTGACAATTTAGGAAGTATGAGGAGTGTAAACAGACAGAAATTGTCGTCCCTCAGGCCCGAATGCTGACAAAGTATCGGCGATCCGTACAGATAGGGAGTATTATCAGACACAGTGTAGTCAATGAAGCATCTTGCACGCCACAACAACTTAACTATATCTCCTATCAAAGATTTTTTACCATTTGGTTGCTCTATTTCCCATATTATATCAGTAAACTGCAATAATATCTGTGAATGTGGTAACTGCTACTAATAGTTAGTGGAAACAGCAACCGGAGAAATATATTGCGGCCTTGTCACTTGCTAAAATTAGGCATGGTGCACAAAAACTGAAAAAAACCTTTTTATCCAATTTTTCGTTGTCACTTGATTAATCGTGACAACTATTTTGTGAAGTTGGGGTGCACAACGCGACCGTCATATGTACCCCTTTTGTAGTAGAAATTATCATGTGAAAATGCACCGTGACTGGTATCGTTTACTGTTTTCTTGTCTGTGCGAAAGGTACAAAAACGATGGAAGTAACTTTAGCGCATATTGCGACTGGAGAAGTAAATTGGTTTTATCATCAAATGTTTATTTGAATACATGATTTGTAAATAAGGTTAAGGAATACTTTTTAAGATTGTTGCAATGTAAAATACTGCATGTCCACCTCTTTGACTCATCCTGTAATTTTTCTGTTATCATTAAAGGTGGTTTTCTTACATGAAAGACGGATAAAGTCTT